GACCGATAGAGGCGGCGGGGCCGCCCCTTCCCTCGCAGCCGCGCTCTCCGCCGATGCGCGATGGCGAGAGGCCCGGCACTTGCCGCTCTGCGGGGTGGTCTGTCCACCGGGCGGCTCTCGGCTTAGGCCGCGGTGGAGAGGGGAGAGAGATGGGGGGCGCTCTCTGTGACCAATTAGGGGTTCTGTCGTTCTGTCTTTTTGACGGTCTAGTCGCAGGCCGCGGCGCGCGGCGGCGCCTGGCACGGCCTGGTGCCAATCGACGTGAAACAAGAAAAATCCGGCCCATACGGTCCAAAAGAGGATGGTCTGTGTCCTCCGCCCAGCCCTGGCTTGGAGAACTTGAACATGTCGTTTCTCCATTCTCGGGTCCGCGGTTGGCCTGCTCTTTTGTAGGGAAGAATTTTGATACCCGTCAGGACTAGTGCTGACAGGACGCCTGCTGGGGGCAGCTTCGCGATGAAGCCGTCCGCTCCCCACTTGTCAACAGCAGGCGCTTCGACTTCGACGAGGAGAGAGAGAAGGTACTGGCGACGCGCACTGACTGACGTCAGCTCTGCCTCTGAAGTGCCCACCTTTCAGAGGAGCTTACTTGTCGCCAACCAGATTTCGATCTCGTCGCCAGACGGTTGCTTCCCCCAGGATTAGTCTTCTCTGCCTGCGGGAACACTCTCGGGCGGCCGGGTGGGGTTGCGGCTGGAGCTAGCATGGCTCGATAGAGCCGAGACCCCGTGTTGAGGCGGCGCTCCTTTGGGCGGCTGTTGAATCAGCAGGTTCGACCTCATCTTTCCATTACTCTCATCCCAGTGGATGGACGTCCGTACCGTACGTCCCTTTGTGTTCCTCTCCCCGTCCGCCAGCGAGACGCTCAGTCGCTGGCGGCCGCAGTTTTTCTGTGAAGGCTGCGCTGCACAAGCACGGGCGGGAGGGGCTTCTCCTGCGGAGTCGTGCGTGCGCAGGGCTCCTCTTTGCTTTCTTCTACTCCCTACTATCATCTCGTTCCCGTCCGGGAGGTTATTAGTCCCGCTATGGATATGTAAGAGCCACTAATGCAATTGTTGGCCACCTTATGCACATCCATGGCCACGGTTCGTAGGACGTCGCTGAGACGTCGTGTATTTTGGTGCCGTGTCAAGCCGGGTGGCGGCTCAGTGATGCGTCACGCATACGCCTCGCTTTACGCGTGCAGACAGAAAGCGCGATCGGTGATTTCAGATGTGCTGCGTATTATGCGCACGTCTTCTGCACCGATCGTTATACCACCGACCTTCTGGCCGCTACGCACCACGCACCACGCATCTGTTTTATGTAAGCTTTGCCAGAGAGGCTCTCTCGGGGCGCTACGCACGGTGTATTACGCACACGTCTTACGCAGTGGGATCGTAAAACGGGGCTGGGTGAGCCTATGACCGACGCATTACGCACATGCACATGCACTACGCTCTTGACCGTGAACGGCGGCGGAGAGGGGATTATGCCTCATGTATTACGCACACGTCTGATGCATCGCTCGCCATGGGTGTCGTTTGGAGCTTACGTCCCACGTATTACGCACACACACGACGGATTTGACTGAGAAGTGGCGGCCAGCAAGGGTTACGCCTCATGTATTACGCACACGTCTGATGCATCGCTCGCCATGGGTGTCGTTTGGAGCTTACGTCCCACGTATTACGCACACGCACGACGGATTTGACTGAGAAGTGGCGGCCAGCAAGGGTTACGCCTCACGTATTACGCATACGTCTGACGCATCCGCCACCTAACCCCTAACCCCTAACCCCTAACCCCTAACCCCTAACCCCTAACCCCTAACCCCTAACCCCTAACCCCTAACCCCTAACCCCTAACCCCTAACCCCTAACCCCTAACCCCTAACCCCTAACCCCTAACCCCTAACCCTAACCCCTAACCCCTAACCCCTAATCCCCAACCCCTAACCCTTA